GACCATGGTAACGCGCTCTGTATGAGTGTCCTCTCCACAGCATGAAGCCTGGGTAGAATAATATGGAGGATAGGCTGTTACCCAAGCAGAAAATCCCCCCTCTCCACATTGCTGAAATAGTCCAATGGAAAAGCAAGAGCCAATACAACTGGTTCCAGCGATGTCGCAGGTGTTGCCAAAACAACATGAACTGCCTCTGGGACTCCAGCTCCGGATTATGCCTCGAGGTTAACTCCTGAAGCCTTTTCCATCAGTGGATATAGCCACAAGGCAGTGGAAGTTTGAAATTGGAGTTCTCCTAGATGAGCTGCCTTCCAAGGCTGATGAGCCCCACCTACCCGGTGAAAGATGCCACATTCTTAGCAAATGGTGTAAATTTCAGGACTGGCAGCTCGGGCTAGTGTCTGTTACTTTTAAAGTTGCGAAACCATGAGAGAAGATGAAATTACTGGGATTTATGCCCAATAACATGTAAGTGTCCAGTTGCCCCCAATATAAGCTAGTGTCGACGGGAAGGGCCTGGGGACTTATTTTTCAGTCATTTGTGAAGGAACTCCATTTCTACACAGTTCCTAACAACTTTAACCATCTACCTTCCATTCTTAGAAATCATTATTACACCCTGTGAGTGAGAGAGAACAGAATAATTTACAGGGACAGTTGGAATTAGCTTCACAATTCACGTGGTCCCAAGATTAAGGTCTGAAAGCATATGTTGCAGACACATTAGTGAAGCCATACAAGCCTGAGTCTAGTCAAGACGGCGTTGAGAAGATACTCTTTTGGGGCACAGATCCCAGAGTCTCCCAGCCAGCTTGGTGAATAATGATAACCAGGATTTGGGGGGGCCATTATCCAATTTTTCTGAGCTCTTCTAATCATTGCCTGATAACTCCCTAGCATTCCCGAACACTCACTGATTCTTCAATCATGATTGAAGAAATATATGATACACATAGAGTGCATGGATGAGTCTTGCTCCTTCCTGCTTATTCCTGGGCTGTTTTGCATGGCAATCCTATAGCATGAGCTTGCAATGGTGGGTTATTTAGATGTAACAACCTCTGCCTTTATCACACATAATTCCACGAATGTGGTTTGCAAAATCCTATTGCACAAGAATTGGGAAGCAAAGCGAGAAAGAAGAGGAAGAATTAGGAATCTTAATCTGTGCTCATTCATAAAAAGGGCTGCACTTGTGAATGCCCATAAACACTTCAGACTCAGTTGTTTTTAAATAAGCTGAAAAGTGTTTCTTATTGGTGTCTACATAAAAACAGCTGCAAGGGAGAAATCATAGATGGATGTAAAATGTCAGCCAATAGGAGGGATGGTACTAGAGGAAATAATCCATTGTTTGTTAAATTCTCAACTTTAAATCTCTCTCTCTCTCTCTCTCTCTCTGTCTCAAATCATACCAAGCTCTACTGGCATGGATAATGGTGTATTTCTTTCTCTTATACACACGAGTATCAAAGTCGCCAAATACTCATAATATATTCTTTGCCAGAAGATTGCATCCTGGCAAGGTATCCTGAAACAATAAAGTAGGGATGAAATTGTAGAAGCTGAGGAAAAGACAACGAGAAACTCCTTTGAATTTCTTTTGATAGGAAACATTCACCGGGCATTTTCATATCAGGGATATTATGCCGAATCCATTTTAAATCTGTATCAGGCAAAGGACAAAGGCCAGCCAACCACTGATGTGAATGTTACTTTGATGAACATCAAATTAGCTCAAACACGCAAAACTATAAATACCACTTTGTCACTTCACAATTACTCGCTCCAATTTTGTTTAATCTAAGGGGAAAGGCCTGATTCTGTTATATAAAATAGATCGCTGTGAATCATTCCCCCTGAATAGAGAACTTCAGCTGGGACTCTTTCACAGCGGCCCAGTGTTCTCTTGGCTTGGGGATTGGGTGACCCTAGAGAGCCAACCCTGATAGGTTGGTAGCCATTACTGAATCTTTCTCCAGTGAACCCCACACTTTAGCTACATAATACAGTAAGAAGTATTTCCTTTCAAGTGCCCTGTAAATTCCATTCCTACAATACTGTAATGTGGCGCTTGCGTTGGAAAGATTGTTAACTTGGGCTGGTTACAGGGATCACATTGCAGCAGGCTCACTAGCTGCCAGCCCATTTCCAGGCACAATTCAAAGTCCTGTTTTTAATCTATAGAACTCTAAAAAGCTTGGGTCCAGGATCATATCTCCCTTTATGAACCTGTCCAGGTCTTAAGATCACCGAGAGGCCTTTCTCTTAGTCCCACCACCTTCACAGGTGCGCTTGGTGAGTACACAGGAGAGGGTCTTCTCTGTTGCAAAGAATGTAGGACTTACAACTTATAGAGGGTATAGGAACAATTGAATTTCTTATTCAAAAAAATTCTTGGTGTACCAGGCCCTTGGACTTCTAGGCCCAGCAGAAAGGATTTTGGATAGTTGATAAAAGGGAGGTAAAGGAATAAATAATGGTCAGGAAAAAATAGCTAGGAAAGGAACAGCAATATTCAACTCATCAACACAAAACAGCAACAAAATCACCACGGATTTCAATCTAGTTTGGCTGGGTGAGCATTTAGAATTATTATTGCATATGTTATTAATATGCTTAGAGGCTAATAACGTCATTTTCTATAATATATATTTATTTTTAAGACCTTTGGTATTTTAGAAATGTATTCTCTGTCTTTTGCTTTTCAGTGTGTTATTAGGCTATAAGCTCTTGCATCTTTACAACACAATTAAAACATTCTCTTTGGTATTTTTTACTGTTCTTTTTATGTCATTGTATTTTGGATTGGATTCTGATTTAGGTATTTGCTTTAAACGTAAGTTTATTTTTCAAATTTTTAAGCATTTCTGCCTACATTTTTTCCCATAGTAGTCGATTTTTGGATATTTTCAATATTTTGGATTTTTTTAAAAAAATGTAGATGCAATGTAGATAAACAGAGCTTGAAGAATTATATCAGCTGATGTTTCTTGGAATCATTCCAATGGAGAAAAGACTTACATGCTGATATCCAGATGAATATTTTTATTATTGGAAATGACTGATTTCTTCATGGAATTACCCTTTTTGAGGATAAATATCATCTGTGACAAACACAGGCGTCTGGTTTTCCCTAGAGGTCTATAACGTTCTGTAGGGCTCCTAGGGAGATGTTCAGGTGTCACACTCCCTGACTTGACAGAGTGGAATTATTGACTTCAGTACAAACTATTACTGAAAAAGAAAAGCATTGGAAAGATGCTAAGAATTTCTTGGCATTCCTTTCTCACGATACTGAGAAATGAACAATGCACTAGTTTAAAAAAATACTATTCTAAATTCTGATGAGAACAACTGGGAAACTTTGAAATGTTGGGTCTAACTTCACATGCTTCTCTTCTACTTCTCTATCCCCTTTTGCCTTTTGCATGGTGTCTGATATCATAAACATATAAACAAGGATGGGGGACACAGAACTACCTCCCCAAATAATGTGAGGACTATGAATTTTAAATGGTGTAAGCCGCCCAGGGACCTTTGGGTAGTGTGTGCGGCATAAAAGTTAAATAAATAAATACAGTAAATAAAATAAACACATCTGGATAGTCCCTGGGCAACTATATCACCCTATCAGCTGACCCTTCCCCTCCAAAAGAACCAATGGATTGCTTCTTATATGAATAAAGGTAGGCAAAGACTGTCTCTTCCCCCTACAATATATGTACAGTGCTTGAGAAATACTACTGTTAGACTACTAATACCAATATTGAAGTGTTACTGAACTGTAAAAGCCTTGCCTTGTGTCTAGGATCTGATGCAAAATAGCCGGAAGACAAAACCAAAATGTGGCCACAGGGGCTATGAGGCAGTTGTGATTGCTTCACTGAACTATCCTAATTCACCCCAAGATCATCTTTAATATTTTCTGAGTGCTGCTATTTGTGTGAAACTGCAAGCAATTTGCCACAGTAATTGGCGAATGACTGCCTCTTATGCATCATTTAGAGCTTGGGCTCACAGGCCCACTTTGTTCTGCCCTTTCGAGTTAATGCAAATGGTTCACATAACTTAACAGGCAGCTATGGGGGAAAGAGAATAATGCAACTAATTCCCATGCTGAAATTTTACTGCATTGGTAAAAATTATTTTGTGTTTCAAAGGGCTGGATTCTCAGCAATCTATTACAATTTGGTGGTACTACAGTTACTCAGAATGTTTCACAAGTCTTCATTCAATGGAAATATGACTTCGGGTTTTTTCCTCTTAAAAATGCTTTCGATCTGCTTGAACAGTGTAGTCCTGATTCAAAGATGTGTTGGCTGGAGTCGGTTAGGGTTAGGTTCTTTTGTAAGCAGAAATGCTCTTCTGCTATCAGAACCTTCTTCTGCCAACCGATCTCAAAAATCTGCCAACAGAATGATCTGTCAGCAAAACTGTCCTGCCAACGGGCAGAAGAGTAGGAAAAAGGCAGAAAATGGGTGGAGTGAGGGAAGAACCAAGTTACATGATATCTGACCTTCTTTAGTCCAATGACACAGCCATAAAGAAAGTGTGAAGACAACTATAAACAATTTCTGGCAACCTTAGTCTGGGTAGTATTTGGATTCTGTACGGTTCAGTTGTTGACTGACTCAGGGGCTGTTAGGTATCTTGATCAATGCTGTACTTTTAGTAAACACAAAAGAAATCAGAGTGGAATGCAGAGTGGAATGCAAAGGAAACCAGAGTGAAGTCAGAACCGCAGCCAAAACTCTGCTCATGACCTGGGTTCAATACCATATAGCCAGACTAAGGCTGACTCAGCCTTCCATACTTCTAAGGTCGGTAAACTGAGTACCCAGCTCACTGGGGTGAGCAATGTGTAGCCTGCATAATTAAATTGAAAACTGCTCAGAGAGTGCTTTAAGCACTATGGGGTGGTATGTAAGCAGCATGTTTTGCTTTTTTGACGTATAATGTTCATTTTCAAAGGAGCAATATCTAATTATGCTTACCAGCACTGTGACTACACGAAGAACCACACCACGCATGTTATTCTCCAGCCTTCTGTCTGTTAAGGACCCATTGAGGCCAGTGACAGGATTCCAGCAGCCCAGCTGAAAAAGATAAAAAGACAAATCACCCTATGAATCACAAACGGTTATTACAGTAGTTTGATCTGCTTAGCCAGTCCATTCTTTCTTTGACTGTTGTTCTGAGTGATGGGAAAGACATTCAGAATATCCATTTTGCACCTCCCAAGAATAGCAATGTGAAAAGTTACAACTTGCCTTGGAACATAGTGAAGATTAAAAAAAAAACAATATGCAAAATATAGGCAATAAATGTGCCTATTTACAAGAACAGCACAAAAATGCTTTTGTTCAATAGGAAAGAAGCATAAAGAATACATACTTGACAAAAATGCATATACAAATTTGTACAACTGAGAGGAAATATGCAACCAAATATGCATGTATGTCCATGTGAGCAGAACAATAGGATCTTTAAGCTTATTATGGTATTAGAATTGGACAAGAATGTTGGTGGAATGCCTGTTGTACACACGAAACTGACTGGAAACCTAGAAGACTGCCTTCTCTACGTGTTTGTCACAAACTGTCTACAAGAGCTTTTTTACAGATCTGAACCCCTTTCTACATTAGGTCAAGAGAGTAGGCTGTAGCCTCACCTCGGTTCTGGAACTTCCTGCCTAGTATGCCCCCTCCCATTCCTCCTACTTTACTGGCCTTCCACTAAAATATGACAACTTCTCTTTTTAGGAAGAATTTCAGCCTGTAAAGGCCTTATTAAACTGTACTTGGTCTTTTTTCCTCCTGACTCTCAGGGGTGCTTTTAGCTGAGTTGTTTTATGTAAAAACAGCATCATCCCACAGGATGAATACACTGATTGAGTCTCGGATGGTTCAGTATTTGTTGATGCTCTTTATATAATTGTATTCTCCTTCTGACTCTTTGTGTGCTGTATGGTTTCTAAACTCTCTCTCTCTCTCTCTCTCTCTCTCTCTCTGTGTGTGTGTGTGTGTGTGTGTGTGTTGGTGGAAGGCTGCTATTTTGAGTGTATTTTTTCCAGTGGCAAGACGATTGTAAAAATACATACATATATATTCATTGGGGGAAGGGGAAGGCAAAATGAATCCCTTTTAAACTGGTAAGCATGGGATTACCAATAAGCATCCCTTATTACTTTGGGTCTGGAGTAGCCTATGGAAAGTGAACAGGAAAAAAATTGAAGCCCCCAAGTCCATTGGGATTTGGACACCAACACCTAAATAGATGAGAATGACAACTAATTAGCAAACATCCTTTCCATCCCTGTGGTAGTGGGAATTCAAGTCCATAGTATGTAGCAGTTCATTCTCCCCACACTTTCTATCTTACATATTAGCTCCTGCTTTTAGTCAATGATTGACTGCTGGGAATATTTTATGTTTTTTTGCTGAGCAGGACCCCCAAAGTGGCACACAGTAAAATAAATCTGTGTTTTCTTTTTAATAA